ATCACTATCACTCATTCGGCCATAAATGAGGGGTCACATCATATTAAATATGATGTCAGTTGTAGTACTCGGCTGCTTCGTGTCACCACACCTCGACTTATCTCCTCGGCACTCTTTGGATATCCCAATGACTTCATTATTTCATATGTCAATTCAGGGGCTACAGAGCCACCTAAAATCCCGCCAATAATCATAACAATGATTGAGTAATTTGTATTCGTATGAGAACCCCAAACATTCTTTTCTCACATCGTTGTCAAGTCGTGAAACATGTAAACCTTAGATTTGGGGTGGGGTGGGGTTAAATCCTTCTTCTTCTTCTTTTTTGTCCTTTTCACATTTAATAGTACTTTGTTTTCAATTAGATTGTGAATCTAAGAGTAACTCCAAGCCACGTGTCAAATGTCAAGTGAAGCTTTCTTTTTTTTTATTTAACGGAAGTGTCCGAATTAATTAATGTACACCTCGATTAATTTTCTTTCCAATTGAATGAAAGACAAATTATCTACTCCAGTACTAGAATATTCATGAGTAATAAATCTTTCATAGTCTAACCCCTAAGGGATTGCCAAAGTTTAAATTTAGAATATTTAGATTTACACCTAGTACCACTTGAATCACTCCTTGAGGTTACCAGGTGAAGCTTTTAATGATAAAAATTGGTATCTTTTTTCTCTCCAATTGATATGTTTAAAACCCTCTTAGCAAAAATGAAGGTTGGTATGCAATTTTCTTTTGAAGGCATAAGCGTTCAAATTTAAATTTATCATCTCAATTTTTACATCTCCTAGATGGTCTAAGCACATATTGTGTCAAATTTGAATCATATAACATTATTTTTAAAAAATATAAATAAAGCTCCTATATCGTGTTTACGATAGAAGTTAAATTGGTTTATTGTGTCAAAAGCAAACTTCATTCATTATTATTTTAATTGGTGGTGGTGTCCGATTTGTACTATATTGAAAATTGTCATCGTTATTTCCATCTATCTTTAAAATGTATTATCAAACACTTCTTTTTTGTAAATGGTCATTTCTTTATCTATTATCACGTTTGGTACGTGGTAATAGTTTTACATGAAAATAGAATGTAATAGACTATATATTATCATTCTAATGTATCATAACAGCGATATTTAAGTGTTAAAATATAATTAAAAATTCAATTAAATATTTTGATAATTCTTAGACTTGGACCCATAACTTGAACCTAGACCCCGATCGACCATGGGACTCTGGACACAACCCAACCCAACTCCAGATGAAGGGAGTGGTAATGATGATAACGAGTGATAATAGTTGAGAATAAAAAATATCAGTAAATATTAAAAAGCGACAAATCACTAAGATTAGACATTTCATTTTATGCAACTATGCTTTCTTGTCCTAAACAAAGTCTTCCATTTTTGTCTTTTGACCTGTGATCATTCTTATCAATAATTTAATACATGAAGTTTGAGTTTGACCTGCTTCTCCAAGCACTCACCAACCCACAAGCCAAATCCTATTTTTCTTTTTAATTTGGAATAATAAATGCATCTTCGGGATGGTGGCAAACTAGAATATGAGTAATGTTATTGAGACATAATTTATTGACCAAATTCATTATGATATTTGAATTGATTATGAGTTTCATCAAACATTGAAACTTGATGTTAATCTAATGGTTCCAATAAAATCACGTCATTAAGTCAACAAATTATATCAAATTTTTATATCCAAATAACATTTTCCGTAAAATATTGATGAGTGTAAACTTTGCTGCCAGAACATTAATTACAATCCCAGAGAATGCATCAAAGATACATGCTAATATTCAACACAGATGTGCTTGAGAAAAAGAATGCATATATCTATGTTGTGAAGACCTTCTAGATTTTTTTATATAATATACTAAGGATCGTGTACGCATAGTACTCGTATGCAAAATAAAAAACAAAAGAACGGATTAAAAGAGATTAGAATCGATTCATCTAAGTGGTTATGTGTAGTTAAATGTAAAAAATTATAATAAGTAAAAAAAACAAAAACAAAAAAGTTATTCTAGACATTTCTTAGGTGGACATCACAGCCACAGTCTCCCGTAATTAATAGTATAGATATGTGATGTGTGTGTGTACGTGCAAACAAACGAACGCATGGATGTATATACGTATTACGGACCTTGTGAAAAACGTGTCATTTCCTATATTTTTTAATTTTGTTAATCTTAATTCACACAATCAAAAATCAAAGAAAAAAAGCATGTGCTTTAACCAGGAAATTCTTATCACTAAAAAGTAGTGGAGATCTGTACCAGTCTTTTAGCCATTTTTGATAATTATAGCACCCTGCAAATTTCATAGTTCTTCCCCAGGGTCCAGACCCTAAAGAATGTATGATATGTTGGGCACCGGTTCATACATTCTTTTTTCGTTTAATTTTTTTATTATTAATAGTACATATGTCATGTAAGAGATTTGAACCGATAACATCCACTCCCTCTTATTGGAGTTACCATCTCGGATAGGCTCGTAAGTCTAAGCTCACACATTCTAATTATATTGTTGTAATTACGATTAAAAACTTTTTACTGAACATTTAAATTGATACATTATTAGGTCTAGTAGTGGGCCAAGCCCCCTATTGAGTCCCTACCTACTCCCAAACCCCACACCCCTCCTACCAAAAAGTAAGCAACCCCTATGTTATATTGATCCAATAGAAGTTGACCATGGTCCGCGTTGACCTCATCTACCCAAATCTCCTCCTTATCGTTTTCAACTTCTTCCTATAATATATGATATAACAAATTTAAATAAATTTATCCAACGATCTTAAATAGATTCATCAAACGATCATTAATAATTCTATAAAATTTTTATTGTACCTTCAAATACGGGTTATGTATAGTTAAATTACAAATAAGAACATAGAGCAATGATATTATGACCTAAAAAATTAATCAAATTTATTAATATAATGAAGTGTCAAATGATAGAATTTCAATAAAAATAGATCTCGTTAGATCCGTGTTTTAAATCTCAATAACATTACTCGTTAAAATAACAAGAATACTGTTGAACCATGTTAGTGTGATATTATTAAGCCAATAAATTAGACTGGTTTTTTAAATTCTAACAGTATTGTTGAAGAAGTTTGGCCTTGGCCGAACTTGGTTGCTTAATTACACAATTGAGCTTGATTTGGGCCATTTTAAATGTATACCCAAACAGTGAAACCTCTCTTTAAATTGGACCATAATATCAGAGTTACCAAAAAATTACAAAAAAAATGTCTCAATTAAATGAAACATTTTTAGGGGTGATTCAATGGTTAAGTTTTTTCTCTTGTAAGTAAGAAGTCTTGGGTTCGATACTTCTCACATCCCTTAATGGTCAGTCACTCTTGGTCTTTATGGAGTATGTGCTAATTAAACTAACTCGAATTACGATAATCAATTTTAAAATTCAAGGGACTAGTTGGCGTAAGTCTTGACAATCGACACCCTACACCCTGTATCAACAAAATATGTTGATATTTTAATAGAGAAAAAATGACAAAAGCTCTCCTCTAATATATTTTCTTTTTAACTTTTCTTAATGTTAAATCACATATTGTGTATAAATGAAAGAATCACGTATATACGGTTTTAGATCTCTTTCAATACTTTATTTTCTTTTTTCTTTTTTATATTGGCAACCCATTTTTTCTTTATGAGTGACGGACCCCTCTTATATATAATGAGTTTTACCAGAATTCACGATAAATGACCTTTCAAAAAAATAAAGAGAAAATGTGGTGAACGAAATCTCACTCTCATATAATATAAAATAGGGGATGTTTGAATAGGGGATAAATAATTTACTATTTACGGAAAATTGAGAAAAAAAATGTAGGAAAGAGAATCCAAATCCTACCCTTTGGATTATTTTATGGATGATGTCTTGACTGAGAATCCAAAAGGGTTGCTTGGTATTTGGTCCAAGGGGAATTCAATAACTTGGTGCCATGCAATTGACAAAAGGGATGGGATGTGGTCAAAGATCATCTAATACTCTCACAAACAAGGGACCCTTTTTTTTTTTTTTTGGGGGTGGGTTTTTTTTTGGGGGAGACTAAATTGATCCAGTATTTGAGTTTATAACCAAATTGTTTTGACAAGTCTTTTGAAAAAAAGAAGTTATGTTTTAAAATTATCACGATCATACTTGCGCTGAACTCTTTACATGTTTTAACTCTCCTCTCACCTGTTCTATTGATATTTCCCAAGTCTGAAAGCAATCAATTGAGCATCTAACAACTCCTTTTCCATAAAGCCAATTGTTCGTTGACATTAATCCTCAATTCAACCGTCTAAGTTTAAGAAAAATGTAGCCAAATTTTATATAGATGTCATAAGAAAGCCACCCAAAATCAACACCAAAAACAAGTAATTTCTTATCCACAAGCCAATTGAATGAGAAAAAAAATTACAGATAATCATTTGACTTTTTCCATTTGAAGCAGCAAAAACATTATAGTATGCCTAAAGGCACACATTAATGACATAGTCAACCTTTGAAATTTTCTATTTGGTAGCAAGTTCTCAAAAAATCAAACAATGACATGGGTAATGTTGTGCTTATCAAATATTTTTATCAAATTTTCATCACAAATGATGGGGCACATTTTTTCATCATCAGATAAGTGGGTCTCATAAATATTCAAATGACAGAGATTATTTCACATCATTTAGTATGAAAAATTTGGCAAAATTTTTTTGGTAAGCATTAACATTTTTCATTCTACATAGACACACAGGAAGAGTAAAAGATTGGTTTTAGCAAAGCCCATTAAAATGAACCAACTTGTTGCCCAAGCTAATAACTTCTAATTTCTAAAGCCCATTTTCTTAACCATGCTTAGTTTAAGAGCCCAAAACCAATATCTCTGTCGGTAAAAACAACAGCTTTTCTATTCTATTTTCGCATGTTTCTAAATATAGAACTCAATTCGAAGATGATCACCTTTAACCCACCACCCGTAACCCCCTCCCCCCTCTCTCTCTCTCCTCCCCTTCTCTCTCTCTCTCTCTCTCTCTCTCCCCTGATCTGTCTCGCTCTGGAACCAACAAACCGACTTTCTTTACAGAGATTGAAGGGGCGATACATCTAACCTCGCCATAATCAGTCAAAACCCAATGGTGTGAACATCAGAAGTTGGTTCATTTTTATTTTTTATTTTTAAAAAAGAACATAATAAGTCGGCAACAAAAAAGTTTTTGGATATTTAGGTGCATGGTCTCCAACAAAGCACTGTTCCATTGACGGCGTCATGTTTTAATTTTGATCTCCTTATATAGTCAAAAGGGCCGTCATAATTCGCCGGAAAACCATCTGGCTCTGTCTTGGTTTGTTATATTTCCAGCTATGCACATGTACTTGTCCAAGGTTGCTATTCAAGTTTGAGCTTCTTTTTCAACTTGTAATTGTTGTGTTTGACTATAATCTCAAGAGGGGTCATCGTAATTCATTGCAAAATCATCTGGGTTGTTCTTTGTTTTGTCATTTTTTTGATTAGGTTGAGTTGGGTGCATGAGCTTGTTAAAAGTGGCGAATCCACGAGACACCGGTGAGTATGTCAGATTTCCAGCAAGAGGTGACACAGACACCACCGATGAAGCTGGACAACCATCTCAACAACCAATAGAATCAACAGAACAAATGCAACAACCAGAAAACTTACTCTTGTCAGCCACGGCGGCAACGTCGATGTTTTCCGGCTACAGTCGTTCGATGGAGATGTCAGCGATGGTGACGGCGTTGACACATGTAGTATCCGGCGGTCAAAGGTCAGGTGAGTGGTCTTATAGGCCAGAGCTTAGTGGTTCTGGGATTTATTCGGCCAATTCACCTTCTTACTCTTCTTCAAGCTCTGGTTCTTGGACTGGACAGAAGAGAGGACGTGATCAAGAAGAAAGTGTACCTCAATTTTCAGACCATGTTCAGAGGGTTTATAGAGGGTTTGGAGAATTCAGAGGTGGAGAATCATCTTCTATTACTACTGGTTCGTTTTCAAATTTCAACAAGACCTTTTTTTTCTTAATTAATTCTTCAACATTCTTTTTTACCAATTTTTTTTTTTTTTTACATCTGATCCTTCTTGTTTTGATCGATTTAGACCTTGAATAAGATTTTTATTTCTGAGCTTTTGATTTCCAAATCAATCTATTATTTCTTATAGTTTTAATTATGCAGCAACCTATTGACATTTATGAGATGTGGAAACATATTTTTTATTTTTATCTCTTTATATATGAAGGAAAAACTATGTAATTTTGCATGTATTAGCTTGCTATGAATAGTGTATACTTATATTTATTTCTTCTATGATGTTGGGTCATTCTTGTTTGGATTAATTTTACTCATTTTTCACTTCCATTTCTATATCAAATGTTTTCTTTCACTTCATTTCAGTATCAACCATGTTTTAGATCTTTTTTCTTTTTTTCCTTTTTGTGATATCAATCTTTTTTTCTTTTTCTTTATTCTCAGTACCGGAAGAAGGTGCAGATATTTTAAGCCCAACCGGCCCCGCAGCAACAACTATTACTATCCCCACAACCACAATACAAATTCCAACAGCAGAACCGTCTTCACAAGAAGAAACAGGAGAGAGAAGAAGAAGATACAGAGGAGTGAGACAGAGACCATGGGGAAAATGGGCAGCAGAGATAAGGGACCCACACAAAGCTGCTAGGGTTTGGCTAGGTACATTTGACACAGCAGAAGCAGCAGCTAGAGCATATGATGACGCTGCCCTGAGGTTCAGAGGCAACAGAGCCAAACTCAACTTCCCTGAAAATGTCAGATTATTACCATCAGTCCAAGTTCCTCCGGCGACCCAGTTCTCCATTTCCACTTCTCCGGCGACCCTTTTCCCAGCGACCCCATCGCCGCCGGCATTCTTCCAAACTCAGCCATTCCAGAGCTCAGACATTGCCAGAGACTATTGGGAATACTCACAGTTACTTCAGAGTACTGGTGGTGATTTTCATGGAAATCAACCTTCAGGATTGTTAGAGCAAATGTTCTATGCTTCTTCTTTAGCTGGTTTACATTCACACTCATTGGCTTCTTCTTCTTCACCCTCATTTGCTTCTTCTTCAGTTACAACAACCACTCCTCCTCCATATCCTCTGCTTTTCCCTGATCAACAAACTGGTTATTTCCTTCCTCCGGGAAGTCAAAGTCAGGGTGGTGGGTCAGATTTTCCGGCACCGTCGTGGACTAGCTCCGGCCACTACCCTCCATCTTCTAGTTGATTTCAATTTTTCGTTTACATTTTTTGATAAAAAGAAAAAACAATATTGGTCATACAATTTTATTGTTTTTTATGTACTCTGTACTTACACGTTGCTTTGGCTCCATTATTGTTATTTTTATCAACTTTATCATTATTATCAGCGAAGAAAACAAATAGCTGGAAAAGTTAAGATGAGAGAACAAAGCAGCATCTGGAGGTTTTAGGCTTCGTTCGATAATAAAGATGGTTTGTTCTGTATTTTATCGAACGGAACCTGAACAAATTGTCAGCTTGTCAACCTGTTTTATTTTTTTATCTTTTATTTTTTTTTATGAATGTTATTGTTGATGGTTATTTTGCACATGAACTTAATTAAGGAGAATCAGTACAGACAATTCTATTCTCACTTTCAAAGAATCTGTTTTAATGAATTTACGGGGAGTACTCCGCGATACAGTGCGAATGATTTTGAGAAGGATGTTGATGGTCGTTAGATAAGTTTATTTGAAACTGTCGAATAAATTTATTGAAGTTTGACATGTTTTATATTATAGATAATTGTTTAAAATGAGAATGGAGCAGTCTTACCACAAGATCAAACTTCATTAATAGGTCTTTTAAGATAATTGCAGTTGTAGTTCCACGTATAAATCGATATCGATATGACTCAGTGGTCATATTCAACTTGGTATTTTTTGATCATATATTGTTATACATTCTTGGTAAAATGAAAGTCTCATGTTGTTCGAGAAATTTCTGAATTAACTCGATTTGTTTTGAGATAGAGTTGTCAAAGTGAACTATATCATTATGTGACGTCGTGTTATTACTGAATTTCTTGTAATGTTTAATTTTTCCTTCTATGTAGTATTTCGCATGTGGATCAATATTATCCCACAAAGTCACATTGCATAATTTCTAGATACCTTTAAAATCGATGGCCGATACGCTACCTTAGACCTCTAATCATGAACGCATTGATCCAATGTTACAATGGGCATGTTGAATTCAAATCATTCTCAAGACAAGTTTTAAATGAAATTCTGTCATATGTTAAAGTAGTTGTTGACGCACGATGTTTCTGAAGTATCACTTGATGTATCACACATCACCACATAATCTTCCCAAACTTGCTTGACTGTGATGTTTACTACCTTTTTTTTTTTGTGGGGAGTGTAAAATAATGGAATTTTTTTTTTTTGGTCAGTGGTTAGGAGTGTATTAGTCAATTTACACACACCTCGACTCCTCCTCAATCTGGTCAAAGGTCATTCACGCCGAAATTACGATATTCATGAAGGATAAAATCTTTCATAACATAATTTTAAAAAATTGTCAATATTTCAATTCACGACATGTGAATTTAACAATAAGGGAATTTCAATGTCACTAGTGCATACATTTTTTTTCTTGATGGAACTAAACAACAACTTACGTATTTGTGTTTGACAGCAAAATGGACTAATTGGACCAAGTTCAAGAGCAATCACTTGAAGGGAGGTGGAGACTTGTGAGTAGAGTTAATAATCGAATTGAATTACTCGAGTTCAATTAGTTTTGACTCGTTCAAGATCGTCTCATTTTTTAAACGAGATAAATTTGAATAATTTTTTAGACTCATTTAAAAAAAAATAAGTTCGATAGGCATGGCTTAAGCTCGTTCGATTATTAACCCTACTTGTGAGACTCATTGAGACATTGAACTTTAACCATCCTGGTTATGGATCTAAATTAATTTTCTCAGTCTTTATTTTAATATCAGTGGGAAATCAACTAGAGCATTGTTAGGTTCACATAAACTTCCCATAGATTTCTTTAGAGCCAACAGGTTGCAAACTAAGTCCAAATCACCTAACCCTTTGATGTGGCTTTTTCTCTGTCTTCCTTTCTTATTCGTACTCCTCGATGCAGTACTGCTTACTCTTTGTATTCTCAAGTGAAAATTACAGCTCGATAGACAAATGCAATTTTTCTTTTATAACCAAGAATCGTACCAATCAAACACGCACATCTTTTTGACGTAATATATTACATAAATTGGGTTGTGCGCAATCTATAAACCATGCACACCTGGTTAATAAAAACATGTCTTACGAGAATTAAACTTAAGAAATTGAACTACATAGGAACTACCCTTAATCAAGGATTAAAATTTCGTTTCGAAACGTTTTTGTCTCCAAAGAGACCGAAACAAGTCAGTGATGAAATCGAAATTCTTATATTTCGGAGTATTTCATAATCTTTCGAAATATTTTGTAATATTTCAATGTATTTACACAATTGTTTTAGAACGTTTCAAGATATTTTAAGATATTTTGACATATTTTTTAAAAAAATAATTCTTAAATTATTATTGTTTTATTAAGTTTCCAAAACAAGTCAAAACTTTTTCGAAACACATCAAAACATTAATATTTCCTAAGCAATCGAAACAATGCACTGGAACAAAATTTTGATCCTTACCCTTGATAGGTTCCAATCACAATTATCTTGGATATCACCTATATCATCTCAGTCCTCTCCTTCTATCAGATATTTTTAATTAATCAAATTTGTATTGTTCCCTTCAAAAAAAAAAGGATAAATAAATAGAACAATGGTCTTATAGTAGATGGTTTGAGAATAACATGTGTTTTAGTACATGAAAATGGTGCATGCATAATGCTAAAAAAATGGATAAATAAATAGAACAATGACCTTATAGTATATGGTTTGAGAATAACATGTGTTTTAATATATGAAAAAGATGCATGGTTAATGCTTTGATCTTTTATTCTTTCACATAGCTTTCTTACATATATATATTCTAGTGGGCAGTCCAAACGTTCAAATTGCTGCATCCTGTTCAAATTGGTGCTGGCACCCTTATCTTTGTTTTGTGCATTGGGATTGACATCATTATTTCTATGTCGTTTACCCAAATAAAAGCAAATCAAAGGTATCTCAAATAAAATATTGTATATGTTTATGTTTGAATAGTTGAAACTAATAAAGAGAAAGTGGATAAGGTCTAACTTCATCTTACACAAAGTTTATACAGACACACACACACACTCGTGTGTGTCTGTTTTATTGTAAGTTTTTGTGAGTGGTCAAATCTCTAAACGAGGTAACTAGTAATACAAATCTTTGTTAGGGATAAGGCTTGGAGTCTTGAAAATGGGTCATATTCTTTACACAATTGAAGACTTGAATTTAATCTCCACATACCCTTTTCACGAGTCTCGTCTATATTTCGATAATAATAGATTAATTATATCTATATAATAAAATACAATACAATTCACATTTTTGAAAGATAAAAAAAATAATTTTTATTTTTTGAGATTTAAAATCTCCGTAAATTTTACTTTAAAATTAATCTGACGGTTAATATTAACACTCCAAATTTAATAAAAAAATAGACCTACAAGGTTGTGTTTAGAATAACTTTTTAAAAGTACTTCTAAGATTTATAACTTTTCATAAGTACTTTAAAAAAAATAATAATATTTAAAATTGTCCCACCACCGTCACCCCCACTGCCCCACCACCACTACCCCCACTCCCACCGCTCCACCACCAATACCACTACCATTATCACCACCACCACCAATACCACTACCATTATCACCACCACCACCATTATCACTACCACCACCATCACCACTACCACCATTTCTATCGCCCCACCATTACCATCATCACCGCTGCTACCACCATCGCCACCTCTTTTACAATAACCATCACCATCATCGTCACCGCCACTGCCACCGCCGCCACCCCACAACTACCCCACCACCACCACTGTCGCCCACCATTAGTATCATCGCTCACCCCAATTATAATCGGTGTTTAAATTTTTTTCTCTCTCCTCTATCTTTATAATTTAATTTTGAGTATAAATATAAATATATTTATTGTTGATAAATTTTTTTATTGCTATGTCCTTTCAAACACGCGAAATAACTAATCACTATGTATCAAACATACTAGTAAAAGACGTGTGCAATGTCCAAGATTTACATCGTCCCCCACCTCCACTCCATTTTATTGTCCTCGCATGTTCTATCTCTTGAGCCACAACCTTTATTTTGTAACCCTCTTACTTACGTATCCTCAATCCTAACACGTTTATTTTCTCTTAATAATAGAGAGTATAAATAAGAGAATTATGAGAAATTAAATATATATTCGAAATTTGTGTTTCTAGTTTACTAATTCATGTTTTTTTATTGGTCATTTTTTTCAATATTTTTTATTGGTCATCTTTTTCAATAGGTTTGAAGTGTACATAGTTACTTGAGGATGAAGTTTACGTCTCTAAGAAGATCCTCTCTCTCTCTCTCTCTCTCATGTCTCTTTCCTCTTCCTCTACGGGAAGATTTGAATGAGACCAAAAGGAACAGCAAGGGGGATTTAAGAAACAGTTTATTTTTGATAACGTCAGGACCCCATGTGGTAGAACACGTGACAAGTCTCTAAAGTTGTGGGCAACTTGAGGCCATCATAGAGCCACGTGTAACATGTTACGTATTATAGTGAACTTCTTAAACAACCCAAGTGGGGCCTACGTTTTTGGATATAGACGTGTACAGGTTGGTGACCATGAGTTATTTTTTTTTAAATAATATTGTTTTGCCAAGTGCTCTAAATCTTTCCTTTTCTGGTAGGGTAAAGTTTATTATTTAAATTTTTTTTTTGGAGGGGGGTTTTTGGTTGTTTGTGTACCTACCAATTTCGGGCAAAGTGTAAGTTTGCTTACGATTCAGTGCTTGCTGATGTCCATGGGGAATGGTGCACGCTCTGTACCCAAAAAAAAAAAAATTTATTACCGTATTAAAAGTAACACGTTTAATTAATATTATAATAAATAATATAATTATTGTATAAAAGAAATATTTTTTTTCATATTTATGATTCTATTTATTAAATTAATTTTTTGTTTATAAAAAAATATGAGTATAAGTTTGATTAAGTAATAATTAAATTTTAGACTTGAATCTAAGCTTTAAATTTTTTTTATTTGTGGGTTGGGTCAATACAAATATGATACGAAAATAAATAGATCGACTCAACTTAACACAATTAGTTAAATGAGTTAGGTTAGACTTGATTAATGCTCGATATAAACATTACACGACACGACACGACACGATACGATTACCACCTTTAATCATGAATACCTCTTATCACATGTAACTTCATATTTGTAAGATATAACTTAATCTCAAAAAATAATAATTTTATCTTTTCTAGTTGTAAATTTCATCGTTTTTTTAATTTTATTCTATCTCAAAAAGGTGTAATTTGACTTAAAAAATTATAAATTTTGATATAATATTGCTTTCATCCTCAAATTTAATGAGATAAACTTATTGTGGAAGCATTATGATGCCGAAAAAATATATTTTTGGTATTATATTTGTATATTTTGATTAATAAAAATGTGTCAAATCTATAATTTTTTTATTTTTATTATTTTTTTAAACAATGATTGTAGATTATGTAATTCTCAATGACTAAGATTAATAGAGACACGATACCAACATCAATAACATAGTCTAAGTTATAATATCTAAAGGTTAAGTTGTAATTTTTTTTTTAGGTCTAACTTATAATCCAAAGAGTCATAATTGAATATACATAATTGCATTTATTTATTAAAAATATAATTTTTAAAAATCAAGTTACACTTTTTAAATGTGAAATTATAGATATTTGAGATTACATATTTTGAAAAGTAAAATTACAACATATAGATGTTCCTCGTGACTAATCACAATATTTGTAATCAATTATGGATAATTAGTTACAAATTACTTGTCGTTTGTTTGATATTACTTGATCTTTAACTAGTGTTATTTTTCGATGTCATCTTTTCCTATAAAATTTAAGTATAGCATTAACAAAAAAAAAAAAAAATTGATTGATTTTTCGGTGCATGTCAATAGCTTGTTTGGATAATTTTTACAATAGAAATTGGGTTGAATTTATGAAATCCTTTCAAACCCGACTCTTAGGTTTTGCTCACGGGATTAAACAGTGTATTATATCCAATCTCATGTTTGACAAATGACACAAATACATTCCGATCGTAATTTTCTCCTTCTTTCTAGAATTTCGTCCTGCTAAGTACCGGCTTTCCTTCCAGGCTGGGCTGTTGACTGAAGGATCAAGAAGCCCGTCCCATCACCGACCCTTACATTTGATGTATAATTCTCAAGTGTCACGTAACTATGTATTGCACAACAAAAATAAAAATGTAATTATGTAACTATGTATTTACCCGAAAAAAATAAACAATGTAACTATGTATTACTCAAAAAATTGCTAAGTCACGTTTTAAATGTATGGTGCCTTAATTATATGGAGTACTCCAATATTTCAAGGGACTTGAGTATGGTATCGGAAAAAAAGATTGGTATCATACCTTTAAAATTTTATTATTTTAATAGATATTTTTATAATTTTGTGAGTTATTTTATCACTATTGTTATAATTATTTTTACTACTTTTATTCAGTGCAAAAAAAAATATCAATTTTGTGGATGATTTACCATATTTATTAGTATTTTTACCATTGTTATCGCAAGTATTTTTACCAATTTTTTTTGGTACCATAACAATAAAAAAAAAATACACACAAATATGAGAAATGTTAGCACGATACCATTTTTGTTTTTTTTTTTTTTTTTTTGGTTATCGTAGACAACTCCTATTTCAATGATGATGTAGATTTTTCTGAGATTGTTTTATAATAGAAATTTCCCTCACATTGAAAAACTAAAAAGAGCACTATGCTCAAATATTAACGGACACTCAAAATATGACACTGATCTGATTTGGGGAGATCACAAGTGCTCATCCTCCAACTGACATGTGCAGGTTTGCATTCGTGAATTAGCCTCTCCAACGATAGAAATAACATTTTTTATCACTTTACTATTATCGAATATCATTATAAATAAGAGTTTTATGCACCGACAGAGACACTGAGTATGGCATTTTTCACTCAGGTTACGGCATTGAATCTACCCTTAGTGTTGTTTGCTACATTCAATACACAAACAATATGCAAAAATCAATGTTTAAAAGAGTTGTCGCTGACTCTATTCTTAGGGTAGGTAATGCTTCGAGCCTAGGGGGCTGGTACATGTCTAGAAAGTGTATCAACACTGCCCTAGGTGCTGGGTACTGTTTGGTAGGTTTTAAGTAACCGAAACAGACAACAACCCAACTGAATGAAGGCACAAAGTTCATTGAGAGTCTTTTGAGTTCATAGCTCTGGCCATGTTTTAATTGGTTCCATTCAAAATGACCCAAACCAAACTTTTACAGAGGTACTTGACTGATGTCTACACATGCCTAATGATCAATATGAATGGTCTAAAACAGGGTTTAAAGTGTAGAATCAGCTAACCCCTAAAACCTAGGGATTGAAATAAAGTATGAAGTAGACTTAGAGATCATTAAGATGATGAATAATACATTTTGACAAGAGAACAGGTATGCAATAAATTGGGTGGTGCATGCAGGTATGCATCAATTTCTACCCAAAACGGTTGAGACACTTTTCTTACCGGTACATTTAAGGAATGATAATTTTTGATACGATGAGACAATACAAATTCGAAATGAATTAATGGGTTATGATTGACAATCATTTTTTATAAATATGAAAATGGCACAATTGCCATACACAAATTATCATTCATTTAGCATAATAAAACATGAATGAGCCAATGAGAATGTCTTTTGAAGTAGAGTGAGTCTAAAAAGAGGCCTGTGTGCATATCCTTAAACAGATTAAAAACATAAAAAAAAAGTGTATACTCTTTTTTTTATTATTATTATTACAGAATGTTCAGATTTACACCAATTATTGTCTCGAATTCGACAACTGTCACCATAACTTGACATAGATTAAAACATGTCCCTAAAGAACAAGGGTGGTTAATCCTTAGAACGTGTTAGAAAAGATTGAACCTAAAACCTTTGACAAAGGTCAAACTCAACTACCCTAAGGATTTAAAAAGTTTATACTCTAGCAAGCAAAGATACATCATAGTATAGAGAGACTGAAAGCTTCATGACTTTCATAAGATTCTTATTTACACAAAGAATGTAGCCAAACCAAAGGAATCAAATCCACAAAAGCATAGTGCTACATAATCAAGTAAGGGAGAGCAAATGGAAATAAGGAAAAGAAAAGCAATAAATGACACACACCCACTCTCCCCCCCCCCAAAAAAAAAAAAAAAAAACCCCTCTTTTGATCTGGTCAAACAATTACAAACACCCATTCCAATCAACAGCTAATATCCCACCAAAAATGGTGATACAGATCCTACACCCAGTAAGGGGAGTTAAATTTGACCCCATGCAGCTAAAAACATAATTTTGTAACCAATAGCATCATCCCTTCCAAACCGGAAAACAACATTGCAGCACTCAGGAGAAGAACAGCAGGCACGTGAACTCCCCATTTAGATCCAACAGTAATAGCTATAGCCCCTTAGCAATATGCTTTTCCTTGGGAGCAGCATAGCTTCTATTCTCGGTGACATTGGAGTTCATTCCAATGACCTCTGGTGCCATTTCCCAACTCCCACTTCTCCTTCCCCAACTTGAGTGCCGTGTGTCTGATTGAACAGTGGGAGCTCGCCGACCTGAACCTATAACAGATTCAGCATCAGAGGAATTATGATGAGGCACGTCGCTCCCTCTGCTGCGTATGTCTGCATCAAAATCTTCAATATTATGACGCTGGGAGATCTTTAATAGATCTCCACCAAAATCTAGATCATCTTCTACCTTCATACGTCGATCACTCATATCCTCTAGTTCTGCCTCCCGGGTGGTGGGCAAAGAAGGCCTTCGTATCTCCTCCTGTACAAAGGCCTGGAAGTTGTTCCTAGAAGGCTTTATCTTTGTGCAAAACACTTCTAGAAAGTTACTTAAACAGCCCCGATCATAAACATTGATCCTGTTGTCAGATCTGTAGCGGAAATTCTCATAGGTAGTCTGAGAAAAAAGAAACGTGCAAAGTATTAAAATAGCTAATTGCAGTGGACAAAATCTACATTTTTGTTGAAAAGGCACCGAGTGCCACAGCAACAAAAAGAGACAGTTGTGTTTATTCAATTAGAACCTAAGCAGCCGAATGAATAAACACACTCAATTTAACGGACATAAAAATATGGCCCGTGTTTATTCAATTAGACTCCGAACAGCCGAATCAAGAAATGGACTCAATTTTAACTGACATAGAAAAGGGCACTCTGAATCCCAAATTGGATTGTACTGAGTAAATCACCATTCACCAAGTTTGTATCATCTGCAACAAACAACAATTCCACAAGCAGGGTATAAGTTTTTGGTCCGTCGAACCAGTTAACAGAGATTATGAAGTTCATGACACCACTAAAAACATGTCATGACACTTGACCAAGGGTATAATAAACTTCTCAGAATTTTATTTTTTCACCTGACTACTTATCAGGGATACTAAGAAGTCTATTTCTCGTTCATGAATGGCGCCACCTATTCTAAAAACACAAGTCTTGTGGTCTTTGTTTGATTCATTTGATGCTATGTTTTTCAGCCAACAAATATATATCCACAGTCTCCACTCAACAAAAAGGTCAATAATAGCAATGATTTCCTGATATTAACCCTCACATCCAACTGAAAGGTGGTTCATGAATCTAAACCAAGGCCGAAAGGTGGCTTGATATTAAGAAAGTATTGTCTCTACGAGTAAAATTATAATTCGGCTCTACTATGTATGTCACCAAACTCGAGCTAAAACTAATCGATAATTTATAGCCAGCTAACAACCAATACTAATCACAATTTGTCAAATCCACTAGACAGAATCAGACAAATAAAAAAAGTTGACTGACCTGGTTTGTGCTTATCAGGAACAAATGAAAGCCAGTGAGTCCCCCAACAAACCATAGTGAAATGAAACAATAGGCCATTAATATCACAGAAGCAGGAGATTCTTTCATTGCCTTCCATACTGTGCCCTGATGATCATCCATCAAAACCTTGATGTAGACAGCAGACATAGCAAACACATAGATGCACAGAAGTGTAGAAGATGAAACAAATAAAAAGAAGTAACGGTAGTTGCGCTGCACATGAAAAAAGCAGTTAGCATCTTGACATGGCATTTTGAAGCGAAAGAAAACCTACAGCATTAACCTTTATTAAAAAATCATAAATCCAAGAAAGTTGCTAGTGGCATGTCATATAACATACCAATCCAATGCACTGGCCCACCCAAGGGCAATGGTGATCAAAACGCTCAACACAATTGTTGCAAATGGAGCAATGCGAGCAACGGGGAGGGCGATATAGCATGCAGGTGTCACAATACTTCACTCTTACAGAAATTCCATTAACCATAACTTCTTTTGTTCGAGGGAACTGAAGGCTGGGTGTCTGTCTTCCCCCAATCTCAGCTGATGCTGAAGTGTCATAGCGGAACTCATCCTCTGGTGGATGTGAATTTCGTGGAACAATTCCTGGATCCCGAGCTGAAGTGAGAAGGAGCAGCACCAACACCTGTCAAAATTAACCAGGGGATTACAACAAGCCTCACTGGAGATATATAACCAATGGTCAAAGAAATTATCCAGTGATTACGTAACAAAATTACATAATTTAGTATAGGAAATTTTCTAAAGAGAGCATCCATGACTAAATTGCATGGTAAAAATCCAAAAATCTCAAGAGTTTCATAATCTATGCATATTGAAATATCAACGCCCTCAGTAAAAGATGGGAACCAGGAAAATAAATTCTGATTTCATAGCACTTAGCCATGCATCATAGCAATTGAAGATGTGAAATACTGTATCTATATACATGCCAAAAGAATATCCAAAAACAGAAAGTTTTACAATTGACCATCATGACTTTTTTGGCATCTCAATAGCCTAAGGAACCATCTGGTGGGCATGGCATCACCGAACATGTCACATGCCCAATCATGGCTCCAGAAGATCTATAATTGAGCTGAATACTGAGGTGTAATGTGTATAACCTATAGACCTCACAAGGAAAGAAAAGGTATCAATGAAGAGGAGTTAGGTGTGCAGTCGATCTTAGTGTACATTGGTGTGCAATCGATCTTAGTGTACTATGCAAAGCAATGATTAGGTGCTGAGCAAAAGCACAACCAGTCATCCATCCATACTAGGACGTGAATGACAGATAATAAAAAGCTCACAAAACTACAATAATGTCCAGCAAAAGGTTTAAGAGGACTAACATAGATAGTAAAGACAATTGCTACCACCACAATTGCATATCCATCATTATGTGCCGCAAACTGATGACGAAGATGCCTTGCAACAAATACGCAAAAGATAATAACTGGAACAATGATCAGGGATAAGGTGGCAAGCAGTGACCTAGCATCCGGCCCAAATATCAACCTTCCACCAAGAAAGAACTTCTGCAAAAGATAAACAAGAAAGTTATATGCAAAATCATGCCAGGACATAGTTGTCGCCATGTCATATGAGTCAAAAAAAATGGATCCCTAATCCTTCCCCCTCAACCGGGGAAAAAAAGCGAATCACAAAAGCCAAAAAGAAAAAAATGAAGTAGTTAATCAATAAAGTTCCCAGTAAGCTATTCAAAATTTAGGAAAATAGAAAATGACCTAAATCTGCTCTAAAATGGTCCAATATGCTTCTGCTAACAACCAACATTTTTTCCATACTTCTTTTCCAAGAAAACTAGTTAGCCTCAACTAAGGATTAAAATTTCGTTTCGATACATAATTTCAATCAGCTCTATAATGGAAACATTTCGGAAACAAAAAAAAATTGAAAACATGCAAAACAGTGGAAAACATAACTTAAAATCCCTTTATATAGGTAGATAAACATAATAGATTAGTTAGCATGCATATTGTCTAGACATCCATCTATACTAGATGGTAGTGGCACCAACTTAGAACAAAAGTGAAAGCAAATATGAAGCGGAAGCCATTTCAAATGGTGTCAAACATATTCTTTTCATTAAACAAACAACTGTGTATGAATTTAAGGACCTATAATCCAATTAAATTGCTTATGACCATATTGTGACGACCAGGGGTGGGAAACATACCCGTGTGAGAACCACTAATGTCCTCGCCACTACCTCCTCCTTACTTGAGCCAAGAAGGAAACTATGTCGTGTTAGTCAAAACATTACCAAACATCCCACAACATTCCGGAACATGAAAATTTCAATTTTCAACCACCGATTTGTTTGGTTTTCATCAAAACCGAAAAGTTTTGAATGTTTCATCTAAAACAAAAATAAAATGTATCCTTGACTATTCCAACCAAACAAGCACTCTCAACCTAAATTTGTGATGCACTGATGCTAAGTAGACATCTTTTATAGTAATTAAAAAACATATTTGCCTCCTCTCCTGTATTTTGCACCGCCTAAGCATAAAGTCCAATCTTTTCAAAATAACAAGAATAAAACAAGAACAAAAAACAGGAATAAGAAAATATGATAAATCACATTAGATTTCCAGATTAAGCATAATTGTAGCACTCTAAGATACAAAAACGATAAAGACAAAATTATAGCTCATGAAACAATCACGTCTCACCCGATATTCAGGCATCTCTGCCACGGTAATTATGCTTCAAAGTTACATAATGTATAAAAAAAGTGCAGTCAAAATGAGGATGTTGAGGCATTTACAAAGAAATAAAAAAGAACACAAAACAGCCCCAAGATGTGAATTTGGTAGACATTAGGATAGAGCTTGGATCAATCTGTGTTTCTCCCTTCTCTTCATCCTTATTCTTCATTTTATATAAACCTTCTTGTCTATTATCTATTCTCTTATCTCTCTTTCATCCATTCTTTCCAATTGTTTCTCCCCTTCTTCTATTTGTGGATTCGTGGTCCCCAGTGGATTCCAGGGTTTTCCCCTATTTTCTTTTTTCATGAGTTCCTGCATCTACCTCTCTTCAACCTACTTGTCTTCTCTTCTCTACAGATTCCCCAAAACGTGTGCAATGAAAATCTGGCAAGGTTCAATTGTCCAGTTACACATCTTCAGTTACTTGTTTGGGAGGTCTAGGTTGCATCAGATCAAAAGTTCATAGCAAATTATATTCCAATATTTATGAAAATACATATTTTAGTGAATAAAATTGAAAACACCAATCCTCTTTTATTTGAGCTTCAAAACCTTATAGTATGCTATCCAATTTATCAACTGGCCCGAGTCTTGTTGGTTTTGCACAACGTACAATTAACACTAATAATACTTGTTGGAAGATAGGAATTTCAACCAACGTACCTACATCAATACACCATACCTACATCTACGGATTAAAAAGTTAAATCGATGAATTATTCACTGAAATACTGGGTATCTTGTTACAGGATACTCAACACTATTTAGAGGAATAAAATATTATTACTCAAACCTATTTAGATATAATTTGATCTCAATGTTTCCTATCACAAATCTAATATACATATAATAAACCTATTCAAGTTATATTAAGACTCTTCTGATTCATTCGATATGGGATTCTCACGTGGTTTTCCAACAAACTCCCCCTTGTGGGAACCACATTGAATTCAGTTACCCCTTCATTTTGATCCACTACTTTCTTCAAGCACCATATGCAAAATCACACCTAGTGCGAAATTGATCTTATGAGTTGCCACAATCTTCTCGGTCTTTCAAGAACCTGCACCTCAGCTACTCCTACTCCTCGGATGATTAAATGGTCAATTCTTTTCCCAATCTATTAAGGGAAAGCCCAGTGACTTGTAAACCTACGTACGAGACACCAAATTAATATTGGGTGAATGTCGGCCCAACATATCCCAAACCATTGTCTCAACATGGCTACCCAAACCTCGAAGAACTGTCTTCAATACTGACACACTATATCGCTTGAAAAATTCAACGAGAATCATCAGCCCTTCATTTTGAAAATATTCTTTTTTTTATTTTTTTCCTTGTAGGCTCAAACACTTTATCAAAGAATTCCAAGATTACGTCCTTAACATACACATGATGAAATCAATCTTCACACCACGTTCTACAACATGAACACATCAACAACTTGCTTTGATTATTGAATCAAGATCATAAATCTAACTCTAATTGTTCCACCAAGATCATCGATCTAGCACTTATATCACTTAATAGTTTTGCACAGCAGATAATTAATGCTAATAATACTTCTTGGAAGATAGAAATTCAAAATAAAAAAATAAAACACAAAAGATATATAGAAATTCGAGACAGAGTACCCAGATTACATCATTTAAACCACTCCTTAACATCTCCACTTTTCTTTTCTTTCAAATTTACCCTCCCCAAAGAAGACTAGACCTTAAATTCTCTCTCAAATCACATGCAAAGCTCTATTTTTCGTTATTCCCCCTTTTTCTCACTTGGTGATTACGTGTTTGTGCATGTGTCTGTGAAAGATCCTTTCTTTTGTTAAACCTCTTTGGTATCATGCCTTTTTATATATCCTTTTTGGTGCACCCTAGACTCTAGAGATGAAAGTAGAAATGGAATGAGAAATCTGATAACTACAGTACTTTGGCATTCATTTGTTATGATAAAACATCTAAACTTAAAACCATAGTTTTTAAACCCAACCCAAACATCAACCCCACAAAGGGACTGAATCAATGAGTCACCAGTTCAATCGTTGGATCAAAGTCGAACTGGTCATATAATTAATAACATAAAATAATTATTAATAATAATGAATACGCTAAAAGATTATAATAACTATTAAAATAACATGTTTTATGTCATAGTAGATGAACTAAAAAAACAAAAAATATCCCCAATTCATTCATTTGCTTACACTTGACCAAAAAAAAAAAATAATTTGCTTACACAATTGATTTAATCTGACAGGGCATAAAAGAATTCACTAACAAGCATTGAATAGTTGGTATAAATAGTAACAATGTAACTCCAAAGTAGACTATAAGGTATTTAAAAAAAAAGAACCAAGGCAATTTAAACACTATATGGCATCCTACATCGGAAATCCACAGAGAGGGAAAAGGACTACGTGCCTTATAAGAGTAGTAGTTCATTTCTTTGGTTGAGTGGTGACCTTGGCTTGAAAGTCTCGTACCAACTACCGTGGATGAGGCAAGCTAAGTGTAACGGTGGTTGAGTTTTAAACTTTAAAATTTAATAATAATAAAGCTGAATATAAAAATAGACCGGTTCGGATTTGTGAAAAACATCAGGTTAGTAACGGATTTTTTAATAATTGTTCGTTTTGAGCCCGTTTGAATGGTTCTCTAGTGGGTGATTTGTACAAACAATTCAATTTAGAAACTGTCTCAGCTCAGGTACCGATTCGCCAGGTTTTAAAACACTGTTTCAAAAACTTGAAGAATTGACCTTACCTATGTGCATCTAATTAAGATTAGGTTAAGTAACCTAGAGCTCGAAGTCTTGGATTACTATGGTCAATGAGTATTGGAACTCATTTTGTGCATGGTATGACCTCTAACCATACCTAACCTGCATAACTTGCGACCCTAATCGTTAAAAAGAACCCAAATTAATTACAGTATTTTATCAAAAACTATGTTACAAGCCATACTCCTCTTTTGGTCAAAAAATCAAACAATATAACAGATCTTAAACACATAAACACAATAGAAATAAAATTTGAAATATGATTCACCAAAATGCAAAACGTTCAACCTATTGCCAAAGGTAAGTGAAGTAAAACTAAAAACTTCCAACTTAAACCTTATAACAACAGTTATTTAAACCGGACCAGACTGACGGGTCAACCCAAGAAACCGATGAACCAGACCCTAAATTGGCCCGGGTAGGCAATTAGATCAAATAAGCATGTGAACAGCCTAAGAACTGGTGGAATTGGGCAATTTTTATAAAAACTACTAACCCAACAAATATTAGACCGGTCAATTCATTGTATTTTGTATAAAAACAGATTTTTTTTGGCATTTTTACCCTAACATCACAATCAACCATCTTCATCACAAGTCGCAAGCTGCAATCCATCTCACCAGTCACCATTGTCTTCTAAAAGTCAAAGACCTCTCTCAAAGCTCATCTTTGTTGTCCACTCCTCTAGATCTTTCTCTCTCTCACTCCATCTGTGCTCATTGTCATACCAATCTCACAATCGACAACTCATCTTCTCACCAACTCTCAGACACATTGCTTACTCTTTGTCTCACCATTTATCGTCAACTCAGCTCACTCTCAGTCAAAAATTTTTTGGCAGTCATCTCTCTCTCTCTCTAGTCACAGCCCACTCTCAGTCAATATTTTTCAGCAATCATCTCTCTCTATCTCTCTCTCATCAAGCAAAAGATGAGTTCATCTTTCTCGTGGTCTAATCGTCTCATATAGACACATTCCTTTTTTTGCTCATTTATCTCACCTCAATATAGCCTAAAATTACCAAACTCCATTAATTAATTAATGGTTTTATTTGGCATTTTGGATTGTGCCTCAGTAGT